CTTATGCCACCGTGCGGCTCCCTTTCTGTTATTGCTATTATTTCTCAGGTCCATTTATTTAGAATGAAATGAATTTGAACTCTTGCTTTTAAAATATAATTCCCTTAGCATTTATTATTATTATTATTGGTATATCTTGTATAATAATAATAATAATAATAATAATAATAATAATAATAATAATAATTCTATTTTGTTTCTTGATGTCAGGTGAATTAATATTAGCATCATAAATAAAGAGTGAAACTTGCTGTTCACAAATGCTGTGTTTACCAACACTAGACAGATACAAGGAGTTGTTTTATACTCATCATCATCACTCCTTTTATTTATTTACATTTAAATAAAATTTTACAACACTTTACACAAGCGCAGACACTGAGTTTCTCGCTCTGCCCGGGACCTACCGTAGAGCTCCAGCATTGTGAGCATTCCTGTGGCGACCTGCACAGAACGTCACTTAACCCCACGAAATGGTGTGGGATCCCTACTGGAGCACATCCACTCAGACCCCCAGGAGGAGCGAGGAATTTGGATCCACTAATTAAGTCCGTCCTTATGTGTAAGTGCTATTCCATGTGTGTTGGCAGTATATCATCACGACAGCACAAAGCACATGTCAGGGAAAGAACATATGGCCAAAGCAGAAAAGTATCATCATGTAACCAAAGTAAGACATCCAGCCCAGGACGTTTGAAGACTTGATCCATAAATTCTTATCTTAGATCTTAGTCTGGCTGTCAAAGAAAGTCACAGTCAGACCAGACTCCACTTTCCATAAAAAGGTGCATTTCAAAATAAATCAGCTGCTAATTTAAAACTCTCTTTTTCACAGTTTTCCATCAATCATTCGAATCATCTTGTAAATAGTATTTTTTCTATGTATGATCAAATTAGATTTGTTAAAAATATCTTATGATTTTTAATTTTTGTAATGCAAACAAACATAACAGTAAAAATGTTCCATATATGACTGCTCAAGACTTCATTTGAATAAAGAATAAAATAGCAGTTTGAGATTTTTTCTTCTTCATTTGAATTGTGTTCAGTCATAAATGGCCTTACATAATTATTATCACTAAAGCCATGATTTTATTTGCATTTCATCAACAGCAGCACTGTGGAACCCTATTATCTCTGTCAGAGACAATCTCTCAAAGACATATAAAAAAGAGAATTTCTGATGACTGACTCCTGGCTTTTTCATTTACATTTTCTTCTGGACATAGCCATGGCCAAATTCACTGCAGGTGCTGAAGCACATGAGCGGAAAGGAGCTTCCTCTCAATACCACAGTGAGAACAAAGAGTACGTCAGTGTGTCCACTGAAGGAGGATGTGAAAGCTGGCAGGGACCATTAGCTACAGCCTGACTGTTCACCACCGCCTCTGGTCCACAGGAGAAACCAACTCAAAGTTGCAATAGCCTGCACTCGAAATTGCTGGAAATGGCTGGCTGTTAAGTTTAACTGTCTGCTCATCAAAAGCACCACTGGGTCCCCACGCGTCTGACCCTTCAGTGGGCTAGGCTGGTGATAAAATATGTTAATATCTTTGAAACAAGCTATCTTTTTATAGCAATAACATTTAGTGTGATTGCTATAAAATTAAAAACTGGATTCTATATTTTGATGGTTAAAGCTGTAACCCACCATCTAGAGCAGGGCTGTCAAACTCAAATTCACAGTGGGCCAAAATTAGAAACTGGGACAAGGCCGTGGGACAAACTCAATATTTATTGAAAAATTGACTGCAATTGTTCATGTTTTCCCTTCTCTCCAGATCTGTAATGTAGATTTTTTTTCGTATGGAAACAAACTTTAATTTTGCATTAACATTGAATCTGGAACAACCAAAGGTTAATATATTAAACACATGAGAAATTCAATTGACAATAAAACACACACCAGTTTATCAGTGGTATTTGTTTCTTATTATGTCTGTTTATCTGTAGCCTTTCCAGTTCATTTTGAATGTAAATCTTTTTTTTCATAGTCTAACAACAACAACAACAAAAAAAAAAACTAAATATATGTGCTATAACATAGCGCATACACCGCTAATACTACAAATCCTGCAAGTATATATGGACTATATACTAGCGGGTCAACTCTAGAACACATTTGATATGATCTCGCAGGCCAAATATAATTACACTGTGGGCCAGATTTGGCCCCCAGGCCTGAGTTTGACACATGTGAACTAGATTATTGTCTGTTTAAAAATATTATAGAAAATATAACATGTTTTAATTGGTATAGATTAAATTCATATGTTTTAAATGGAGAATGTACCATTTTACTAAAGTGAATTGCACCCTGACCAACATGGAGCAATGCTGCAGGTTAAACAAAAATGTTTGCGAAAAAGTTAAATTGTAATATAAAATATTTACCCACAAAATTTCATTTAAATTCTTTAAAGTGTTAACAATTTTCTAATTTTATAAATAATAAATAAACAGATCTAATTCTTCACTCTCTTTTTTATTAATCCAAAACCCAAACAGAGCGACTTCACAGACTCCACACTATGGCCTCCTGTTTCATTTATGGTGGCAAATATAGTTGTTTCCAAATCCCCATACCAGACATTAACGGGTGACCATAAACTGACCAGTTCTCAGTGACCACGACCACAGTACAGTCCAGTCATTAACAGGTCGCTGTGGTCGTCAAGGGCCATTTCAGCACATTAGACACGGTCCAGCTAGCATAGCCCGTTAACCACTTCTTATGCTGGGGGGGGGGGGGGGGGGGGGAGTTCTGAAGGCAAAACAGGACTAACATTAGAGGTTAGGCTGTTATGAAGAAGCCCTGGTCAGGACCTCAGAGGGAGGTGAGAGAAAGCCAGACTCAGCCAGTGATGGAGCAGAGACGGTGGGGGGCAATGCGGGGGGTGAAGTGGTTAACGGTGGGTGGCAAATGTGCGTGGATTTGTGGCCGAAGACACACACACACACACACAGATGTTACCATACATCTTGCCATATGTTTAGAAACCTGTGCCTGACCAACAAATTAGACACATGGAATATAACTCTGAACTAGGCGTGCATTAAAATGTTGCTTTCATTTATCTTGAATCCAGAAAAAAAAAAAAAAATTAAATTTTTCTCCAACTAAAGGATTTAATTTCTGAATGATTATTTTGGCCGTCACTTTTTTTTTTGATGCATACAATTAATTCCAATAAATTTGATTTATTTTACATGAAGCAACATGATAACAAGCATATCAACATTTAAATCTATGCATATAAATTTGACATGTGTGAAAATAATTTACACTTAAATTTTATTTTAAATGTGTTCTTGTGCTTTTTTTAAATTTAAGTTAGATATTATTTAAAATAA